AACTACATGTTGGTCACTTATAAGACTTTAAACTTATAAGTAATATCTAACTAAATCATTAAAACAAGTGATTCAATGGTTTCTTCTTTTTTTTTTTTTGTTATAAGAAGGTATAGATATTGAATGATTAAGGAATCCACGCACGCACTATTATCGCGGAAAATATTGATGATCATATCATGCCTTCAAGAGTCAATTTCAATCTATTAAAACAAATTATCATAAAATATAATACCTCTGTTCCAATAATATTAGTTTACTTAAAACTTTTAATTCCAGACTTTTTTTCAATCCATCAAAACTAAACAATTATAAGTAATATACTTTGTCATCAGGAACCAACTAATCAGATCCTAATCATTTTTTTAAAAAAGAAAAATTTTCGGTTAAAATAATATGAAAAATAAATTAATGTATATGACGGCGAGGAATGATGTCTGTTTTAGGGATCATCTCCTTTGAATTCGTCTCATGCGAAACTCTCTTATATTTACGAAGAGGTGTGTCTATGATATTTCTTTCGTTTCAGAAAATCATTGGAATTTAGGAAAATATATGAATTGTTTTAAAAAATAGGAAAAAAGAAAATTGCTCCAATGGACTTTAAACGGATTTTGGGATGGTTTGTGCGTTATCAAATGCAAAATTAAAGAGCATTGGAATTTATTTATTTTTTGTTAACTTAATTTAGTGAGAGCTTTATTCCTGAGCAAAGACCGTGCTTGAGAGAATAAACTCTTCGATATATATCATCAAAGTTGTCTTTCAATCTCACAAAAGCCGCCAAGAGTTGATTATAGTAGGTGATAGGAGAAATTTTATTTCTTAACGGTATATAACTGGACACAGTTCTCGTGCATGCAACGTCATCCGGTCTAAATAAATAAATGAAAATTACTTATTTATTCCTGAGTTTGAAATTTCCATGAAGCATATCTCCCCACTAGTAACACGGATTCATCACTGTGCATATCTCAGTTTCTTATAATCCATTTCTATCCTTTCATCTTATAACTAGTATGTGTCCCGCGTTTTGCGCGGGTTTGTCAATATTGAAAATTTATCTTCCAAAAGAATTAATTAAATAATGTAGTTACTAATATTTGTTAAAACCGTAATATTTTTTTGATTAACCAATTTTAGATCAAAGTAAGAGGTATTGATATTATTTATGAGATGTATATTTGTAAGATCTAGCTAAAAATATTACAACAAAAATTCTAAAAACTTGTATAATAAAAATTGTCACCACTAACTAATATTATGTTTGGATAAAAAAATATATTTAAAAAATACGCAAATTATGTCTAGATGTCTATGGCTTATTTATAGGTAAGGGAAATTTGGGAATTAGACACAATTAATCGTCCTTGAAATGTAAAATCGATAAACTTGAAGACTAAATAATACATAAATAGAACTTTAAGGGCTAAAATGATAATAAGTTGAAAGTGGGGCTTGATGGTCTCAATTAGCGACACGTGTCGATTATCTTTCTTTCATTTAATATACTAGTGATGTCTGGTCGCGCAATGCGCGACCCTGGCCCAGTCTATCTGTAGATCTTAGAAATGTTTATATTTGAAAAAAATAAAATTTTGTATTTGGAGCGATATATTTTAGAAATGTTTGAAGGATTTAGAAATATTTTATAAGTGTGATCATAGAAATATTTGTATTTCGCAAAAAAAAAAAAAAATTATATTTCGCCATGTATGTTTTAAAAATATTTTATAAGTGTTATTTATTAAATATAAATAGCCTTAATCGAATATATGTGTTGAAGTAAATGTTAGATAAAATATAAAAGCATCCTAATAAATTTAAATATTAATAAGATGATTTATTGATGTTCTCCATTGGTCGTGTCAAATCAATACTTAGTTTTGGAGATTTTTCATAGTTTTGTAATAAGCTTCATCCGAAGGGTATACGCTTAAAACAAAATTGTCACTTTGTAACAAAAAACCTAATTGATCAATTCAATTTAAAAAATCACTCTAGTTGAATGAAACATAAAGAAAAAATTAAAAAAAAAATGTGTCACGTAAAGTGCAAAGGGAGATTTAGTAATTTAGTTATGGTTAGACAAAAGGGCAATTTAGTATTTTCTATATGCCACGTGGCAATCATATGAGGTGTTTGAAAGGGAGGTTTTTGTTTCTAATATAGTAGGATATAATGATATTTATAATCATCATTCCCATTTCCCTTTCTTAAACACGCGGAACCTTATAATATCATGCAATTAAATCAAAGAAGCGATTTCTTGACTGCATAATGAGCCCATTGCACGAGTTTTTCCCGATAAATGATTAACCTTATAATAAATTTTACATTCCAAGAATTATTTCAAGAACCAAATGATCCCTTAGTAACCATTTTCTTTTTTTTTTGTATTGGGCAATAAAAGTTTACGGATATAATAATAGAAAATTGTGTTGATCAAATTTTTTAGTATATAACGAAAATTTGACGTAAGATCCATCTGAAAGCTCCATAATCGTTAATCAATACAAGTTTATACGCTCATCAAAGCAACAGATTAGGTAATGAATATTGATTTTTTTTTTTACTGTTTGGGGTTCATCTCCTTCATTGACATTTTGACATCTCTACGTCTCAGAGTTCAACGATTGGAGGCCAAATGTAGATGCTTGTAAATCTTAATCTCAATTCTCAAAAGGTAATTAAAAGAATTGACGGGTGAAAAAACACATGGCGGTAATTTCTCCACAAAAAAAGAATCCAATACAATTTTGTCAAGATTGTCAATTTTAATCTGTGCAAAACAGGCTAACTTTTGGACAAGAAATGGGCTGGCGGCTATCAGCTGTTAATTTCAATATGTAGTCGAAATTATTGGATTGAATCTTTCTATTTGAGGAAATGTTCGAATGCAAGTTTCATCAACTTGTGCGACGGAGATAATGCATTGCATGATATCGGATTGGAACCAAGTAAAGACATGTTTCTTTTATTGAAAAAGGAAAGGTGAAGACATTATTGATTTACACTTGTTGATAAAGGAAGAAAAATAGAACTGGATTGGTGCTGCTTACGTGCATGGATATTCTTTCTTCAAGAAAGAACGATCTGTCGTTTTGGTATGAATCTTGAAAGATTCAATTTGCATAGAGGACACTCTTTTTTTTATTTTCACCGTTTATCTTCTTCTTCTTCTTCTAATGTGCCGTAGGAGATTCATTGTGACATTTCATATTTAGGGTAGTCTCTTCCAGTTAAATCTTTTTGAAGGGTAAAATTATCTCAATATTGTCTTTTTCATTTGTAAAGATGAAACATAGGACCTTAATGTAAGTAGAATCAAACTCGTTATCACTTTGTCCAACTTAGAAAGTGTTTCTTTTAACAATGGCTAATATGCATTCTTTGCAGATACATCAATAATGTCATCTCCGACCTAACGGATTTTGAAGGTAATCTTTTGACTGCTGACTAGCAGTTAACTAAAATTTTTTCTAAAAGTGAAATTATGCTTAGAGATTCAAACCTAGAGGTCAATTTCCCTTGTCATTTGCATAAAACCCATTAAGGTAGAGATCATTATTTGGATATTAGTAATTCCCAAATTGTTTTTAAAATCTGACAAGAATCGTATCCAGTAATTTTATACTCCCTCCATCCCATAATTATTGTCCAGTTTGAGTTTTCATTTCTAGTTCAAATTGTACTAAAAATGAAATCTTAAACTGGACAATAATTTTGGGAGGAAGGGAGTAAAAGTTATAGGTTTTCGTCTTATGTATTTTAGTTTCTGTTGTTACAAATTATCATTCCTGAAACTTTATCAAGGACTCTGCTTTCTTTTCCCTCACGATAAAAAGATTTTTCTCACAAAGTTTCGTCAGCTGGATTACGTCGAAACTATATCTGCAGCCATGATGATGTTGATACTTATCATTGAACGATCTTTTGATTTTGTTTTCTCTTTAATTCATAACCAATCAAACTTCAGCTATGCCAACTCGCTTTAACAATAATGATTCTTGATGGCAAAAAACTCTTTTAACCAAAATTAAATGACTTCACAAATTAATGAATTTTCCCTTGGGTGATTTATATGGACGGTGTGTCACAGTTAGACGTAAGTAGAACAAGTCAGCATCTTACGATTCTCATTTAAGATAACACTTTAAATTTGTGATTTAGCCACCCTTAGTTTTCCAAAGAAAATTATATTTACAGTGACTTACATAAAATTAAAAAAGATAGTAGCGAAGATGAAGTACGATGACCGAATCCTATATATTATGGTGGCACTATTCCGTATAAATTTTATCTTATTCCAAAACAATTCATGTTTATCTTTAACTATGGTGTATACATCAAACACCGTTGACTTTTCATTCTATTGTTTTTTACTTATATCACTGCTTGGTTTCTAAAATCCATTTTCTACTCTCACTCTAAGTTAGGAGGAGAGTCGCTCGGATATAGCACAAAATTTGGATGATTAAATTGATTGTGAATCCTGTATGTGCTGCTGTTTCAGCCCAGGTTGCCGTCACAATATCACATCCGGATACAATTTTATAAATCCAAAGAGAGTTTTGTTTGGTCTTAGTTCATCGGTTATACCTTGTAAGTATATCATATTGTTCAATTATTACAATTAATAATATGTTAAAGAAGATATCTATAATTGCCGCAAATAGAAACACGATTGCTTATAGATTAGATTCAAATCAACTTGAAAGTTAAATACATGATACAACCAAAAAAAATATGTATTTCTAGTATACAATTACTATTACACGAAAGTAGGGAGAAATTCTTGGGATCTCCGTTTTTTCTATTTTTTCGAAGTTAAATTAAAAGACACATTTTAACAATAATTGTTCAAGCACTGAAAACCTGCAGTATGAGGTTCCATCTTAATCTTGAGGTTCATCGGACGACCTTCAAAACATGAAGAGGATTGCAGGCGCGTAGTTAAAATGTTGTGGATTTTCTCCAGTTCACCAAGTTTTGCACTATCAATAATTAATTTGCACTTTATTTTGGCCTCCTGAATTTTTATTTTCCTCCACTATGATAATATGATCAGCTAACTCTGCCACCTTCATTTGCTCAAGATCGCTCTCTTTCTTTGGTGACTTTCTGTAGATCATGTATAGTATGATTTGAAGAATCCCGAACACGAATCCGAGTACATTTGGAAGCTAAAATTAGGGGGAAGAAGGTTAAAAAAAAAAAGAAAAAAGGTTAGTGTTTAACTACCAAATTTAGTGGGAAAATCATCATAGATAGAACTATTAAAGCAAGCTTACAGCAATGTTGTAGTCTTTGAGTAGGAGGCCGTAGAAAAACCAAGCCACAGCATTCATCGTGAGGAAAATCGATAATGGCAAGGGCATGTATTCCGCACTTTTTGTTCTTATAACTTCTCTCTGCATTAAATAAATTTTATAAAAAAAATTAAGAAAAAGAAATATTAATTTTCTTAGTACAACCGATAAAAGATGATTATTTTTCTCAATAAATAAATAACTGTAAATATATATTGCTTCATGAATGATTGAAGTTTGTAATTGAGATAATCGATATGTTCCACATAATTGAAGTAATTGCGGCAGCGTGACTACTTACCACGATGCATAAGGGAGCGACAAAGACGCACAAAGAGAAGACGAGGCAAACCCAACCAACAGCTCGGACACGGGTTGAACCATGAGCTAAGAAGTACGTGAGTGCAACAATAAGACCAAAGCCACAAACTAATAGGCCTGAAATTTCCTTCAACGCATTAACCTGCATGTATAATATATATATATTTTTTTTGGAAAAAAAAATCAATTAGCTTCGAAAAAGAACGAAATTTACAATAACTCAATAAGGATACATACCCTAGCCTTCTTTGTAGCGTAGAAAAGGAAGAAGCAAATGTAGAGAAGTTCAATGACGCAGCCAAAGGAGTTAATGGTGATGAGGAAAGTTGCATTCATTTTGAGCAATGCATAATATATCCACAGCATCGCACTCAGTAGTGCAACCACATAAGGAATCGATTGAAACCCTTCAGTTGATTTCTTCTTGTAAATCTGATAGAAGGTTGGACTGAAATTTTCATGGAAGAAAAAAAGAATAATTAGTTCAAAAATTTGACCATAGTAATCGTTTAATTGATCAGACAATAATAAGCTTGGTGATGGTAAACTTACATAGGGGACAAGAACACACCGAATGAGATGATATTGCCTGCCAAAAGGGGAAACAGTGAAGAACATGTCAAAAAACATTGCTTGCGTGAGAATCAATCATCTGATTTGTTTCCATTCAATTAATTGGTATGAATATTGTCTTCCTAAACTTTAGCGCGTCAACCGTATAATTAATAAATATCGGTGTTTTTCAAGTATATATTAACACGTGAGATTGTGTAACTGGTTATGCAATAGTGATAAATGGAAGCAATGCAAGAAAATGTATATTTCGAAATATATGTGCAGATACTATTTATTGAATCATAGAAAGAAGGAATGGAAGAATACCAAGTAGGCCAAATAGAAAAGTTAATTGAGCAGAAGTAATGGCCATCTTATTTGAATTTATGGCAAAAACTGTTTGAGTTTCTTGCTCTTTTTTCACTTATGTTTATAGCACAAAGCGAGGTTTTTGAGTTGATTGAATGGATCCGGGAGCTATATATACTATAAGAAGACAGAGCTAATTAAAGCGAAAGCAGAAAACTACAACACAAAATAATTTGATTTAAAAAACATGAAAACAAATTTATAAAGGGAAAAAGGAAATGCAATAGTGGAAAGGTGAAAATGGGAAGAGATAATAACAATTTTCGCTTTTATTTTATTCCTGGCTAATTATTTTTGTGGATCCTATAAACTGTTCGGATAATTTTCTTATAAAGTATACTTCTCAAAAGCTCACAAGCCCCTTGAATTGGCTTAGGCAATGTTGTAAATTGGCTTCACAAAAATCCTTTTCTTATGTCATCTTCCAATTCCCATGGCCTGGCGGTTTACATGTCGATCATACATCCATAATCTCTTTCTCTTTTCTTTTCTTTTCCCTCAATGTTTCAATGCAATTTCCTCGTGGATGCTGAATGAGCGGTGCACAATTTCGCCGACTTCATATTGATCAGAGAATGTAATACCTCCGTCCAAAAAAAATAGTCCACATTGAATTTTGAGTTTTATACTGAAAATAGTACAAAACTCAAAACTCAATATAGACTATTTGGGACGGAGATAGTATAATTTTAAAAATGAGTTTAAGAAAGTTTTATTGTGTAGGATTTTTTAAAGCGGATATACTTCATTAATTTATGGTCACAATTCCCAACCGTAGGTGAAATGCTATTATATCTGTCCCAAGAAAAACGGTTTTTGAACAAAGTATACTGTAACAAACATTTGGCAGTTAAATTGTGTATGCTTCCTATTCAACAAGTGAGGTGGCTATAGAAAAAGAACAAATATCCTGAGTCTAAAATATCAGGCATTGTTCAAGCAGACACAATTGAATCGATATTAATTAGTATGTCCATACTTAGCAAAAGAAGATTTAACAATATAAATTTACATGCTTAGCAAAAAGCTATCATTGTGTACAATAATATATTACATTTGGAGAGCAAGGAATAATTATGTGTTTAAGAATGAGCCAACTGAAGAGTCCAAAGTGATCAGAGAGATTATCTTGCATCTAAAGATTAGCTTCAATAGAAAGGGTTCCTAAAGTGGCTAGTGCACACACCTGGTGGCAAAGGGTTAATCTTACTCCGTTTGTCATGAATAGGAGGAGTTGATCTTTTGTAGCTAACTAGATTTAATTCTAGTCTTCTTTGTTTTTAGTGTTTGTGAACGTTATTCACGGGATCTTTAATGAAATTAACCTTCTTTACAAAAAAAAAAAAAAAAAAGATAAACTTCACTAGTCCTAGTTATTTTCCTATGGTAAATAAATTTCGTACCGAGAAAGAATTTGAAAAATAACCCTTGCATTTATTTTGGTGGAAATGTTTTTAGCTGCAAAAGGAAAAGAAAAAAATAACATTTGTTTCACTTACCTTTAATTTTGTCGTTTGAGCACAATACAGTATTGATTTTTAAAAATATAAATGAATTGATACTGATAAACTATAAGATCGATACCGTAATTGTTGAAAAATTATACTAAAAATTAAAAAATTTAGCGATACATTTGAAACCTCAAGTACAAGGTTATTTGAACCTGGTGTATACCAAAAATAAATACACCGAAATTTAAGTCGGTAACATGTAGGTAAAAAGTATATGGTGTAGACATATATTAACACATTAGCAATAGAATTTTGTTAGTTTTGCTTTTGAGTTAATTGTTGTTCATTTCCCGTAAATTAGTCCAGTACATCTCTGGCGTGTACTTGATCATCTGATGTCAAAATGAAGTTGTTGGCGACAAGAATGCCAAATACCATCACTAACCCATTGAAGAGATACCAAAAACACCATATATACCCGGATCTGGTGTTTGGCATTTCCCACTCCCTCATCAAGGGAGGAAAGTGTTCGTTTGCATAGCTGATACCAAGGCAATTTCAAAAAAATAGACGAAACTAATTGTTTTGAGTTAAAATTGTATTTGAAAGTGAAAATTGACTCGGCTCAAACTAATTTCAAACGATTGTGTGATATTTTCAAAATTCGGAGTCCAACCGTTAAAGTTGTCCAAGGATGTCAACGCCTTCAACTCACAATAAGATTGAATGTTTAAACGTTTAATGATGAAATAATGAAGAACTTTAATGAAATGAATAAAACGGCCGATGAAGGTCAGTTTTATTGAATTGATGGAGACGAATCGGCCGTGAATAGCCAGAAACGTCAAAGACCTTCTAAGGATTAATATCAAAAAGTAAAAGAATACATGAAAGCTTGAAGAAAATAAATGATAAAAAGCTATAAAAGAAAATAAGAATATAATTTTTGTATGATGAAATATGTGTGTTTGCAATCTCTTCCTCATAACTTTTATAGACCATTCGTCAACCCTAGTTGGAATGCAACCAAAGTCGAATCCGATAAGAATTCCTGTTGCAGGTGGAATCCTTCTCCTACAGGAATTATGATGTCGATGATACCTTCTCCAATTCATACTGTCGGTTACTGCTTCTTCTTCGGGTTTTCTCGATCTTCTGGCGAGCTTGATAATTTTTTTTTATTCCTTTTATTATTGATGCTATCGGCCCTATGCATATGGACCAGATTTGTCAAAATCAGTCCAACACTAATAATCATACTTGAACCCCTTCGGTGTCACAACTTACATTATAGAGTTGTATCACGCAACAATTGCAAAAGCAAAGCTTTATAATTAATAAATAACTAAAATAAAAATAGGAAAATAATACGAAAACTAAAATCCAGATTTAAATTAAAACATTCAATAATTTTAAATCGTAATTAATGTAATTAACAATTACATACGGTAAAACGTTAGCATATAATTCAGTGAAAAACAATTCTTTTATCTATAATAACTAATTATAAACATAATTACATAAAATTATATTATTATTTTAATATATAATATATTATATAATATATATATATACATATATATATATATATGGAGCGGGTAGAGTTCCGTTACGGGACGGTTCTATTTTAAGACAATAACCATTAGATTAATTAGGCTAATTAACAATTATGGGATAAAAATGAGGGTGTATCAAAAATAAATATATCCAAATCCACTCGATTGAAAAAAGAATTTGGAGTCACTTGTAAAAATATTGCAGCTACTGTAGACCAAAGTTATCAGCTAGCCTTAAACGTCATGGTTGGTAACACATTGGACTGTGCTGCGGATCGATCTCTCACACAAAAGTGTTGGGAAACATAGTAATCGAATCTAATACATATTTAAACATTGGATTTTATAGCTAAACAGCTGAGGAAGCAAATTCCTGACGTAGCCCAATAAGGTCTTTTAAAGGGCTCTTAAAATGACAAGTCTAATGGCCCAAACAAATACGAATTATTTACAGATCCCACTTTTGGACACTTTCTAAATAGTGAACTATATATATGATAAGGCGTATATTTCAGGAGTTAATTCACACTTCTAACTCTCTCTCTAAGTGCGTATTTGTTTACTTTCTCTCACTATACTGACTTTAGTATTAGAGTGCTAACCGTTGTTTTTCAGGTCTCCGTCCTAGACGAACGTTGACTCGCCGCCATCGGGATTTCCCTTCGTCAAAAGCTTAATTTACATTTTTCAAAGTTAACTCCAGCTAAAATATTTTCTTACAATTCCTCCATCAAAACATTTTGGCATATTTATGTAGTCTAATATTTTAAAAGGCTAAAAAGTTCCACACAAATTAACATTTTCTAACATTCCATTTTTCAAAGAAAATACTTTGCTATTATCATTGATTACCATAGTGTTATGTCCTTGTCGCGTACCTATCAACCTAGGATTGGGAAATCAAGGGTGAGCTCGCGCCATGCAAATCTAGTAAAGTCCTCAAACCTTTGGACAGGCAAATCGCAAGGCACAAGCAAGTACTCTCATCATGCATCTTGATAGTAAAACTAATACGCACGAATCAACTACACGAAGTGCCAACACAATCAAACTCAAGAAGGAAATCCAAGGACATGTATTCCTTGAGGATCGATTCAAACGTTGACTCTCTAAGATCAGCCATAGGCCCATAGTACGATCAATCTGGGATTGGAAAAGAACAATCAATCCTCATTCTCTTAATATCATTCGCTGATACCAACTGAGACAATTGATTGTATTGAAGTAAAATATAACGATACAATAATGTGACATATATATACAGTAGGATAAAATCTATTATAAAAAGTTCTGAAATATATACATTAACACTATTTATATTGTATATTTTATTAAGTAAGAATCCCCTTCAAGTTCGCTTGTAGTTGTCACTGGTCAAATAACTTCCAGTAGTACGTAGTAACGCTAGTATACCCTCATTAATCTGGATCATTTTGTCTCCCTGAGCGACCAAACCCTATGTCGGCTGGCTGCTTGATTGCTCTAAGATGGGGCCGATATCACAAAGCATGCACAAGTAGTTCACAGTTCGACAAACCAAGTTAATCATTCTATCAATCACACAGATCACATCACTTTCGTTACAAGAACTAAAAGCCAAATCGCAAACTACCTCATGCCATGTCACAGAATGACTCGTATACTAATATTCAGCATATAATCCAAATTCAAGACATCTCCCAAGAGTAACAGAATATTGTGAGAAAAGAGTATACAAAAATCTAGAATAGTGGTAAACAGGTTTTATTCAAGACACGTTTTCGATCAAACCAAAAATTCGATTTGCAAGCCGTCAAAACTATTGTAAAGTAGGATAAACAAAAAAGAGTTTGATTCAAATAAATCACAGGAAGAGTTCAACAACCAGGTGGAAACAAATCTCCAAAGCAGCACCAAAGAGCTAAAATTTCAGAAAAAAACCCGAATTCCATGACATATAGGTCCTGTTCAAATCAAAATTCCTAACAAACCATAACTCCATTTAACAATTCGTCAAA